CTGTTAGCTAGCTACATACAGAGAATGACCTCAGCCACCATATCATCCATCAACAGCTTCTCGATTTCATTACCCACCATTTCTACTTCTCCCCTGGGCCCGGCCCAGCCCATCTCCCGATCAACAGCCTCGACTTCGGTCAACTCCAACTTTTCAATCAATTTCTCTGCAGCCTCCCTAACCCCGTGGGCCCGCCACTTCATCACTAAATTCGAACCTGTCGATTTTGGCATTACCCAGGGGCACGGGTCCACGTGCTCCACGAAAATCTGCATTAGTGCCGAATTTATCCTGTCGAAAAGTAACTTCCTTTCCCATTTTGCCCCTATTGCCCCTTCATCATACTCATCACTGTATTTCTTCTCGAGAGTGTCGAACAGTTTCGGGTCAAGAGGATGATAGTCTTCTTCTTGGGAGTACCATGATGTGTTGTTGTTAAACATGGTAAAGTAGTCGGGATCTTGAAGGAGCTCGGAGGTGACGAGCACGTCTAGCGCGTAATGAATTTCCCAGCCTTCGGGACCTGTTGCGTAATTTCCTTCGGGAAAAACGGGCGAATTTTGCGTTTTGTCTTCTTCTTCCTCGATTGGGTGAAGTGTGGACATGTCAGCATCGGTGCTCGATTCCATCTTGAGGAGCTGCAGTTGAAGTCGGAGTTCTACAAAAAAAGGAAAAAAAAATATTAGAAATAAATAAATGGTCAATCACCAATGCAGAAAAGACAACACTTTAGGTGTGCATTCTGGATTAAATTTGGTGCTTTGTATTTTTACTATTCTTTCAAGAGAAAACGAACCATCTGTATATGAGAATATGATTTCATAATCATAAAATTTAGGATAATGTATCTCCTTAAGAGTGGGTAACAGTTTCGTACCTTGAAGTTCAGCATTGACTCTCTCAAAGTTATCGGCAGATGATGCATCCTCTGTGAAAGGGACCTCGAGAACTGAATTCGGGCTTGGATGATTGGCCTCCTTGGAGCTTTCTGAAGGCTCCGGCTCAGCTCCAGGGCAAGGTGTGGAAGAAGAGGCTTGTTTTGATGGTACCTTGTTCAATTCCTAAAACGCGAAAAAACAAAGAAGTATGTACTTATTATATTTTAAAGCATTCAGTGCTTAATTGGAATGTCAATGCAGCCTAACTGAGGTACGGCCATTCATCGTCATTCAAAAATCCGTTAAGAACATCTATTACACTTGTCATTCATAAACTCATAACATAATTGATTTGCTGTTTATGTTGTCATATATGGTAGGTTTACTCAGGCAACGAACCAACTTCAAGGGTGTAGATAACGGCAACCGAATCTTTTTAAAGCTAGAAGTAATGAACATTTTCCAACTTTGTAGTAAACTGGTCCCACAGAGAACCACAATAAATCACAATTCTCCGTACCATATGCGACCAAAATAGCATTTGTTTGGTAGCAACTGGTGAAAGTTCTGTCGGGAAGTGTGATTGGAAAAAATTCTCCTAACTGTGTGTAATAGTAGAAAACACGTCAAAAATGCGTAAATGTAGTGTCCAATTGATGGTTGGGAAAAACAATAATTAATATTTTTCCCATGCAAAGAAACAGAGAAGTTGCCAGATAAAACTGGTCATCTGGGTTTATATCAGCTAAAAAAGTTAGGATGGAATAAAATGTCTGGCTTAAGGGAAAATATTCGATTCTTCCCCAGCCTAATCACTACTACCAAACATAGGGGAGTTATCCTTTACTTGAGTTGAGACGAACAATCTAATGGATGGTAAAATTATAATACATGAACATCAAAGGAAGCAGCAGAACAAGCGAAATAAGTACAAAATAACAGCCACAATAATTATTAGAGAAGTAAAAGAACTCATACAAGAAAGTATCATGTGCATGCAATCATGCATAAAGTTTTTACTTCATGGCCATTAATGAAAAGCAGAGAAAGGTAATTCACTGTGACAATCCATACCTGAGGCACGCAATCCCCCCATTCTTGAACGGCAGACTCATTGCCACCTGTACCTGAAGACAGCTGTTTCTGAACTAACTTAGAAGGTTTGTTAGACAAAGTTGTACTTGCAGATTCAGAAATCATCATCACATCAACCACAGGACTCCTACAGGCTTCGGCCTTTGCAGACATCTCAAAAGCAGACTGCTGTTCGGATATATCCTTAATGTTCGCCTCCATTTGAATTTCGAAACTGGCCTCTGCTGAAGAAGAGTCTATCTCACCATTAAACATGTCCTGATCACATGGATGCGGCTTCTTCCCTCTAACTTTCGAGTACCTAGACAGATAACCCTCCTTATAACCCACATTCCTTTTCACGAATTTACTCCTCTCCCAATTTACATTTTCACCGTGCATCACAACTTTCGCCTCAGCCAAGTTTGTTTTACGGCTTCTCCTCCCTCTGCTGCTACCTGGAGGAAGAGATTTGGACCTCAACGAATTTCTAGTAATCTCATCCGTCCACCCATCAGTACTACTAATGGCCGAATGACTCGTCTTCACATTTACACGGCTGTGCCTTGTTTCCCTATCAGGCCGAGTAAGCACCTCGGCTAACGTGCCCCCCTTACTATTACTATTAATCATATCCATTTCCCGACATTTGTGAGTCATCTTCCACCTTTCAGACAACCTCTTTTTTGCCTCCCTGTTCACAGACAACCTATTTCTACAGGAAAAACCGAACCCTTCAGGCTCGCTCTCCGAGTCACTTTCATCACACTCGTACGAGCTCTCGTCCCCCACATACCCTTTACCCCACACTGACCGCAAGTCATTACTCTCGTCATAACCATCCCTTATCCGCATTGTAATCTCTCTTGCTATCTCCCGAGCCTCCTTAGAAATCGACCTTGATAGTCCCACTTCACTGGAAAAGTCTTTCCTTCTATGGGACAACGAACTAGATAGGTTTTCCACCTTCCCGAGATCTGGCTTCAAGACAACAATCCTTGTGGGGAGAGTCGTCTTCTCTTCGTGCGAAATGCAGGCCCGGCGGCCGTGGCAGTGCTGTTCGAGCAAAAGCCCATCTACACGTCTCAAAGTGACGCGGGGCCCACTTACAGCTGCAGGCTTGGCTTTGCTTTCGTACGGCTTTAAAACGGCTATACGGTTGCCAGGAGAGTCTAGAAGCTTCTGCTGAATAAGGGACAGCTCGTTCGGCTGTCTCCATCTCGAGGAACAGCGGTGGTGACTGGCGCTGGCAGCCTCCAAATCTTCATACACGTCCTTGAATTCAGGCGGACTTCGGGTCGTTCGGTTGTCGTGGTAACGTAGGCTTCTTGATTTCGGTTGGTAAATGTCGGAAAGCCTTTTCTCCTTACTTTGGTGGATGTGTTTAGGGGATGGAAGGCCATCGAAGCCCATTAGCCGGGCAATGACACCTGGCGGTCGTCTCCTGGGCTCGACTACTTCTCGGGACATTTCTTCTGCTAGGAGCTTCTTCATTGGTGTTCCGGTGGGACCTCTCCACGAGCTCTGCCCCAACTCGAGCATAAACTGTGACAAGAAAGTATTTTAAGAAATGAAATGAATGAACGAACGAATATTCTTCAATATGGTGAGAGTACAGACAGAAGTAGATAATAATGACTGACCAAGTCATCCCTTTTGGTTCCATCAATGTAAGTTCGAGAATCGGTGGACAATCTTGGAGCGGCTTTAGCTTTCTGAATCTGTTGAATTCCTGGTTAACAAAGTTCAAACTAAAACAATCAATCTCTATACAAGGTATGCATATAACTTCTCACAAAATTCCTAAACAGAATCTGTACTCGCCACACAATAACAGAATCTCTAAGCATAATCTGTTTTCAGAATTAAATTAAAAGGGGAATGGATACGCATAAATTTGTATATATGTGGAGAAAACAACAATATAGAAGGTAAAGAAGAAATTAGGCGTTTATGGGTATGAATCTTGGAGCAACTTCATTAAAGAACCAGGACCAGCAATCATACAACTCAAAGAGGAACAAAATTATGCTAACACCACAATAGAAAAGTTTCTTTTTCATGCCACTTGCCAACAAGACTTGCTTTTGTAAAGCATGAGCTGATCCAAGCAATAACTCCAAGCTTTAAATTAAGGACTTCACGATTTCGATCTTTCAAGTAATAATGCCATCAACGACAACGTAAGAGAGTACGACAAGAATTAATGATCTCGGTGTTAGAAACAAACAAATTTCCAGTCATAGAAACTTGTTACAAAATCCATGTTTCCCGGTGGATAAAACAAAGCAAGTGAGGTAATCCCCACCAAAAGATGGAAATTAGTTACACAAAAACTATAGAATATATCTTAAATTTAAATAACGAAAACTGAAAATGTTTAAATTTAAGGGTAGGACATGCAAAAAACTATTGTTACTCGAAAATTTCAATTTCGCTTTCCTCTTTTCTTGCTTCCATTTCTTTGTTCTCCCTTTTGACAACAAAACCGATCATTTTTCTTCATAAGAAACTATCTAAAGGACACTAACACTAACAAAAGGAGAACAGACAAATTTCAATCCGTATACATTAACATAAACAGCATATACCTTCAGAATTTGTTGCGCAAATGATCAAAAGTAAGGAGATGAAGCTTTTTTTACCTTCAATGCCAGAGGCACTTTTGGATTTTCGGTGCCGGGCTCTCTCCATTTATCTTCTACCCGAAATTCAAATCAAGCAAACAGGACGAGCAAAAGGACGAAAAGCAAACTATCGCAGGTTTCANCGGAGAAAGTGAGAGAGAGACTTTCTTTTTCTATTTTGAAAAACGAGCACGAAGATTCCAAAAAAAATCCAAAAGAAAAAAACAAAACAAATTGGGAAAAATCAGATCGAGATTATCGGGAAACGCCATCGCCATCGTTAAACAACCTTTTCTTATCTTCAGCTCATGTTCAATATTCAGCTCACACATCCTCTTCACACAGTAGAGAGCAAAAAAAAATCAGTAGGCAGGAAAAAAAGAACTGGTACTAACGGCTAGCAGCAAAAGGTGCATTCTAGGGAGAAAAATATGAGCGAGAATAATACACGCACGGACTCCATTTAGAGAGAGAAAGCACGGAGAACAGGTGAGGAGGGAACAAGGCCGGCGAACATTTATGACGACACTGTGGAAAGAAAGTGTGTATTTTGAATGGGAGTTTGAAATAAAAAGGGGCCCGGTATTTGGATAGTCTCACACATGGGGGCATGGATTGGGCCACGGAAAATAATCTGGTTATTGTGTTATTTTATATAACACCCTCAAAGTGTAAGAAAATTTGACTTTTGGTCCTTTCACGGGTACAAGCCGATACTAGCTGTTGAGTTTGATATGTTAGTTTGCTGTAACGAGTACGAAAAAAAATAATATTCAGGTCAGTAACCCATCATAGGGACCGACTTTTGCCAGTAAAAGAACCAAAAGTTAGACTTTTTGGATATTTTGTAAAGTTAATGCGATCACTGAACTATTTTTCAATTAGGTATCAGTTACAAGATTAAATCTTCAATTTTAGCCGACCATGCTACGTGTTAAATGAAACGAGTCAATCCTACTCATTAATATTTTGCTCGTCTTGTAAACAAGTTGAACCAAACGTGTTTAATGTTTGTATAGTTAATGAGTAAGGATAGAAAATATAATTTTACATATTTTTTTGCAATTTTGTTCGTTAAAATTCAAGTTCAACTCGCTAATATTGATAAATGAATCGAACTTGACATTGCTTAACAGGCCAATTTCATCTTGACTTCACAGACTTGGGTCCACGCACGATCTCGTATATTCTGTTGGGGCAAATGGTAAATTAGAGAGTAGAAAGGACCCATGATGACACGTGGAGATAAGAAGGCGTGCCACGCAATAAATGGCTCGTGATCTTATGGCAAAAAGGAAGGTTAATTAGGTGGGGAGAATTTAAAATGGGGATTATTATGCATTTATACTAATCCGAAATCTTTTCACATGTATTATGCCTTTTTTGAGCAAGAACTTGGAATTGTTAAACAAATTAACAGTGAATTAAGCTCGTTTGCTTAATGAGTTGGGATTCAAAAAAATAAGTTTTATGTAAATTTGTATAGTTTAACTCGTTTAAACTTTATTTACCTGTTAAAATTCGAGTTTATTTATCAACTGGTTTAGTTAAGTTAAGCTGCTCAAGTCATTTATATACTTAGCCAGGACCATTTGCAATTACGTCAATCTGTGGGTTAAAGTCATAGTAGATTCTTTACTAGGCAATTATGTTATTAATGTTGGCATCAAGATGGAAAATAAAATTTATGTACAATAAATCCATAACTAGTACGTAGCTCATGCGATGCACGTGACATAAGTATTAAATGAGTCACTTTCATAGAGCCTGTCCGTTAAGTAGCTCGTGCGATTCACGGGAGATATTAAATGAGTGGACAATAGGGCTTGTCAGTTCATACCTAAAAAATAAAGTTTGATCATCTATGTTTTTACCTCCTTCATCAACGTCATCTTTTTTGTCGAGACATTAAACCTGAGTCTGGTAGCGTTAACCAGTAAATTAATTAATATATTATCTCGCTCACATGTTTATAATAATATAAATTTGATTTTATTATATATATTTATTCCTTGATATAAGAAAAATAACAATTTTACGTAATCTTGTTCATCGTATAATACTCATATTATTTTATTATAAAATTTATTGTAATATAATGTCATTATTATTATTTATACAAGTTATAGATGTAGTCTTCTTCTTCTTTTTGTTTTATGCAATTAAAATATTTAATGTATGTTAATATTATTTATTAATGTAATTAATTTAAATTATGTAAATAAATTTAAAGTAAAACATTTTGTACAAATATTTTACAAAATATACACAAATGTTTTTTCTAGAATTTAATTTTTTTTTATAATAAACAAACATCTTTGAAATTCTATGCAATTATTAAACATCCTCGATATAAATTCGAAATCATTCTTAAATTCTATGCAATTATTAATTCCGTCCGATGTTACGGGAAACAAATCATTCGAAATACAACAAAATGATAAGGAATTTTAAAATTTAAATTTAAATGAGACATGTTTTTACTTAAATTCTATGCAATTATTATTTTGTCCGATTTTATGCAAACAATTCATTTAGAATTTTAATGTAACAAAATAGTAAGAATTTTAAGATTTTGAAATGAGACATGTTTTACTTGGAGTCTATTTGTCCGATTTAATTGCAAAATACATCAATTAAAGATGGAATTAATGCAGACCAGATTTTTAGCTATAAAATAATAATATAATTGAAAAAATGATGAAAATAGAATGAATTAATTGTCTTTTGACTTTTATTCCTGCTAAATTTAATAAATAAGATGGCTTATTATAAAAGTATAAATTTGAATATGCAATGACTTTAATAATTCACCAAATATATTATAATGTGAACGTCAATACAAAAGTTCACTCTAGCTAGTCCTGTTTAAATTATCCCAATTTAAATATAATTTTGGTTTTCAACACAATTTATTTTTTTATTTTTTATTATTTTTTTTTTTTTTGCCTCTAAAATTGATACGTTAGAGGAAGAAAGTCCGAGAATAAAATCTTAAAAATAGAAAGACCATCTTTTATCATTTCTTTTAATTCATTTTTTAAATTGGGAACGAGAGAATTATAAATACTTAATAAACTAAGTATATGGATGGCAATCCCAATTATTAAATATTGTATTTTATATCACATTACAATTAAATATTTTACTTTATATCACACCAATTTATATTTTAAAAATAATTAATTCTTTCACTAACTATAATTCATCCAACACCATCCAATAGATTAATTTATAATGTATATTCAATTGTTAAATATTTGCTCATTTATTGTTTATTTATCTTCTCGAGCTATATGTAGAGTCGAAATAATTTAATTGCTCATAATAAAACAAATACCAATTTTATGCATTTATTTTCTTTCGTTGCAACTGGATCATGTCCTAGTTAGACGTCACGGTACCTCGTCTCAACTATTGGGGACTCAGATTGAACTAGGATTGGACTCAGCTCGAAACTAAGAGCACCCATAATGTTTTGGGTCTCTTTAAAAAAAATCACATGTCATGTAAAAAATAGACATAGTCTATACAAAATGTTTCACAATGCAATTAAAAGTGGACCTAATCTAGCTTATGTTGCAATAAAAAAAAAGAGATCAAGTCTACTCTTGGGTCTATTTTGGACTTAAGTGTGAACCTTACAATAGCAATCATTTACTATTATTATATTTTTATTGGTTGTTAGGTATTTTAAACCTATTACTTTTTTTTTGCATTGGATAGATTTTGAATTTTTTAGCTTGGGTTTGTCCATGTCATTATAGACTTAAGTCTATTTATTTGCCACATATGCAAAAAGAGACCCAAAGCATTGTGGGTGCTCTAGCACCCACAGTGCTTTGGATCTCTTTAAAAAAATCACATGTCATGTAGAAAATAGACCTAGTTTATAAAAAAGTGTTTCACAATGCAATTAAAAGTGGGCCTAGTCTAGCTTATGTGCCAATAANATTTTTTAGCTTGGGTTTGTCCATGTCATTATAAACTTAAGTCCATTTATTTGCCACACATACAAAAAGAGACCTAAAGCATTGTGGGTGGTCTAACAAATGTGAGGTAGTTAAGTGAATTATAGATTTCTTATGATCCAAGCTAACTATTATAATATATAGTATAATATAATATTTTATAATTTATACATATATTATTCGGTCGGTTCGGTTATTTCGGACATTGAATGCCTGAAATCGAAACCGACCGAAATAACCGAAATTAATTTGACTACATTCGAAAACCGACCGAGTCAGATAAAAACTGAACCGAACTTTTCAGTTCGGTCAATTTTGTTCGGTTTTAGTCGAATTCTGCACACCCTTACATGCAACGAGAGGCCGTGGATGACGGTGTCCACTGTGGTAGCAAGCCGTAGCGCGATGGCGACGGCTTCGAGGACTCGCGCTGGGAGACCGCTTTTCTGGTCGAGGTCGCCGAACTTTCAGGGGCCTTTGTGGTCGCGCAAGAGTCGACCGAGTATGAGGGACCACCTCGTTTCGATGGCGAGGGATCGTCTGAGTATGAGGGCCCTCCAATTTTTTACGAAGAGTATCTGGTGACAAATGGATCTGAATGTGCTCTTGACGACGTTGGGGAACACACTTTAGATATCTTCGCTTACAAGTTTCGAGTATATAGAACCCAGTGAAAATGATATGGGACTTAATGACAATGACAGGGTACAAGAGGTGAGTGATAAAGGTGCTGCCCCTCGTGACACGTACTTTGGGGTCTCATCATTTCGAATAATATACATGTCTGGTGCAAATTCATTCAGTGAGAGTTACTTTAGGCGTAGTGATCGGTATGGAGGTTTACACAATAGTGTTGCATCTTATGATGTTTATGAGGGCAAGTCTCAATGTGGTGATGATATACACGAGAAGAACGTGAATACAAACGAAGAGGTCCGATTTTCATTGGCGATAATTTCGGTAGAGACGAGATTGTGCCAGACTCGAGGCGCTTTTTCGACAGGGGAAGAATGATGGAGATCATATTTAGAATCTTTAATTTAATTATTTGTTTCCCTCTTTATTATTATGATTATTAGTAGTATTATGGCTAGGAAACTTACTTATTTTATTATTATTATTCAAAATTTTTGTTTTGTTGGACAAGCTAGGAATTTAGGTTTTTTAAGAG